CTGAGAGGGTTCAGCAGGAAACAAATTTAGGGAAATTAAGCTAAAACCAGATTGTAGTTTTTGGACTTTGGCGTTTGAGCACAGTAGGAAACCCAGAGCAGATTCCTCTGAGTTCTCAAACCTCACAGGTTCTTTTAAACAAGATCATATCTGCTTTAGAAAGGTATCCCTAGCAGCATCATGCATCGATGGTGGATGGAAGAGGGACTAGAAGCAGGGTCACGGGTCAGGTCACAGATGGTGAGAGTCTAAATGAAAACGGGAGGGCGAAGAGAAGGAGGTAGATTGGAGAAATGACCAAAAGGAGGGCAAAGAGGTTGCTAAGGTTCCCAGTGGAAACCAATAGATGGAGCGTGGCCATGAAAGGCAGTAAGAGGAGTGAGTTAGTGAGTGGTGAGAAGATGAGTGTTCGAAAAGTATGTGTTGGGCCAGGTGTGGTGGCTCACGCCTGTTATCCCAGCACTTTGGGAGGCCGAGGTGGGCAGATCACCTGAGATCAGGAGTTCGAGACCAGCCTGGGCAACAGAGTGAAACCCTGTCTCTCCTAAAAATACAAAAATTAGCCATGCATGGTGGCAGGCACCTATACTCCCAGCTACTGAGGAGGCTGAGGCAAGAGAATTACCTCAGCGATTGAACCCGGTAGGCAGAGCTCGCAGTGAGGTGAGATCGTGCCACTTCACTCCAGCCTGGGCAAGAGAGCAAGACACTGTCTCTAAATGAATAAATAAATAAAATAAAGTATGTGTTGGATAAATAAATGTTTCTATGAAGCAGATAGTCTGATATTTTATTGGGTTTTAAAATGTATCAGATGACTTTTTAAGGAATACATTACCTCACTCATTATATGTTGCTTAAAGTATTAAAATCCATTTGTTTTTTCATATCATTTGCTAAAAAGTAGAAGAAACAGCCAAGGTTGCAAAAAGAACTACAGAAAATTGGTACGTGGGTAACTGAAAATTCACTACATATAAACTTTGACAATTAGCAACAGCTACTTTACCACAATAATTTGCTATTGTCAGAATATGACTGTTAAGTAGTGCAGTATTTTTTGAATGCTGACTAGGTTTAATGAGCTATTTTTCTGCTCAGAGGGGGATGAGAGTTTTTTGTTTAAAGAAAAACAACTAATAAGCTGCAGTTATTACCCTCAGAGACCTTACAATCCACTGAAGAGACCAGTGTCGGAAGCAGATTTTATATAAGAGACAAGGAAGTGCTCGTTAAATGAAAACAAAGTGGGGTGGGTATCAGAAGCAAAGATGAAGTGGGTGTGTGTAGGCGGTGGGAGGTGGGAGACAAAGAAGAAAGGCTTAAGGTGGTATATCAGTTAGACCTTGTAGGACAAAGAGTTTGTCAGCATAAGCAACAGAAAAGTGAAGGTGCCTGGCATGTTTTAGGACAGTTTACTGGCCCTGTGTGAGTGGAATGCCAAGAGTTGATGGAGGGAGAAGGGACTGTGAGGCCAGAAGTGTGAAGATACTAGAAAGCTTTAAATGCCTTGCTCAAAGAGTTTGAACTGTGAAAAAATAATCTACTCTGATACATATAGGAGAAAAGCAGGTTACACCTAATGGCACCATCTACATAACTTTGGAATAGACATACTCAGGTATCATCAGCCCTGAGCCTGGTTCTGTTGCTATCCAGAGGATGGGTATAAACATGTCACGCTGGACGTGGTGGCTCATGCCTGTAATCCTAGTACCTTGGGAGGCCGATGTGGGTGGATCACATGAGATCAGGAGTTCCAGACCAGCCTAACCAACATGGTGAAACCCCGTCTCTACAAAAAAAATACAAAAAGGACAAAGAGCCAGGTGTGGTGGTGGGTGCCTATAATCCCAGCTACTCTAGAGGCTGCCACAGGAGAATCACATGAACCTGGGAGGTGGAGGTTGCAGTGAGCCAGATCGCACCACTGCACTCTAGCCTGGACGACAGAGCGAGACTCTGACTCAAAAAATAACAACAAAAAAAATGTCTGACAGCTGTGGACTATTGACTGGTGTGTAACTCAGACTGGCCTGTACTAACCATGTTCCAGGGTTGATATTTTAAGAAAATTTGTAATTCAAATCAATAATGCTACTAGCTGACCCTTCTCACAAAAGTCAGAAATCTTTTCTGGATAGAACTTACATTAAAGGGATGTATTGGATATATAATTTGTTGCTATAGGCAACAGTGTTATGAACAAGAGTTGCTGTTTCAAGCATCTATTTATATTAAATGTGATAATGGTGATAATGCATGTAATGTGTTCAGCACAGCATCTGGCACATAGTATGTGCTAAATGAATGATAATTATAACTACTACCACCATTATTATTACCATCATCAAATACTCTAGAATTCATCATTTAATTATACATAAACAACTTGGATTATATGCTGCACATTTATAAAACTAGGCTATCTGTCCTCTGCTACGTAGCAGTTTTTAGTATTTTCATATACTATTGGATCTTTTATTTATTTTTAATAGATTTTATTTTTTAGAGTGCTGTTCGGTTCACAGCAAAATTGAAAAGAAATTATGAAGAGTTCCCACATACCCCTGGCCCTCACACATGTGCAGCCTCTCCTACTATCAACATCCCTCACTAGAATGGTACATTAGTTACAACCAGTGAATCTACATTGGCACATCATTGCCACCCAAAGTTCATAGTTTACATTTAGGTTTACTCCTGGTCTTGGACATGCTAAAGGTTTGGACACATGTATGACATACATCCACCATTAGAGTATGGTACAGAGTAGTTTCTCTGCCCTAAAATTCCTCTATGCTCTGCCTATTCATCCTGATTTTTTTCATCTTCCTCTTCCTCCTCCTCCTCCTCCTCTTCTCCTCCTCCTCCTCCTCCTCATTCTTCTTATTCTGTCTTAGTCTGTTATCCAGGCTACAGTACAGTGGCCAAAGCTTGGCTCACTGCAACCTCTACCTCCTCGGTTCAAGTGATTCTCCAGCCTCAGCCTCCCGAGTAGCTGGGATTACAGGTGCACACCACCATGCCCAGCTAATTTTTGTATTTTTAGTAGAGACAGGGTTTCACCATGTTGGCCAGGCTGATCTCAAACTCCTGGCTTCAAGTGATCCGCCTGCCTTGGCCTCCCAAAGTATTGTGATTACAGGTGTGAGTCACTGTGCCTGGCCGTGATCTTTTTGGTTTTAACAGAAATTGACTTACATTTTGGCTCATTATAAAGCATATATATTTAATATATATAATTTAGTACATTCTGAGTCTTTCCATGTTAAAATTCATGTGCAACACCATTTAAGTGCTGAATATTATACTATAAGGATGTACCATAATAATAAGCAGCACTTTTATTATATGTCACATATGTTTTATCTCAATTCTTTCTTTTTGGAGATGGAGTCTAACTTTGTCGCCCAGGCTGGAGTGCAGTGGCACAATCTCAGCTCACTGCGACCTCCGCCTCCCGGGTTCAAGTGATTCTCTGCCTCAGCCTCCCAAGTAGCTGGGATTACAGGCACCCGCAACCACGCCCTGCTAATTTTTGTATTTTTAGTAGAGATGGGGTTTCACGGTGTTGGCCAGGCTGTTCTCAAACTCCTTACCTCGTGATCCACCTCAGCCTCCCAAAGTGCTGGAATTACAAGCATGAGCCACCCCACCTGGCCTTATCTCACTCAATTCTCACAGCAAACCCATGAGGTAGGCATTATTATCACCCTCATTTTGCCTCAGGAAAACTGAGGCAACTTGCCCAGGGGGTTATGTAGTCATTGCTAGAACCGGAATTCAAATACAGGTAATGAAGAATCTGTCGATTAACCTAGTCCCTATTGTTAGACATTCAGACTGTTGCCATATTTTTTGCTAGCTCATCTAAACAATGTTGTAATAATATCTTTTAAGCTAATGTTTGTGTACATCCTTAATTCCTTGGCATAAATTCATAGAGCTGGAATTTCTGGGTTGGAAGGTTGTTGACACACATTGCCAAGCTGCCTCCAGATAACTTACACAAATTTACTTCCCAGTAGCGTATTAGAATGCCGACTTCCTTGTACCCTTTCAACATTAGATACTGCGATTTTTTTCTTTTTCACCTTGAACCTCTGATGTTGCTAATTCAAAAAAATATTTATATGCCCATTCTTAAGGCATACTATAAAAATAATCAAATTTTCAAAGCAAGCAGAAAACACTGTGATTTACACAGTTTTGGAGATTCTTCCCCAGTGTTTTCCTTCAGTAGCACTAATTGAGAGGTTGTGCAGTAGCACGAACAGAATCTGAAAAATTTAGTTTTTCCTGAAAAAATCTCATATACACGTGGATATATGTGTACATGTGTACATTTTGTGTGTATATGCATATACATGTATACATGTATGTATACGTGTACACAGAATACACATATACAAATATACATATATATACACAAACACACCTTTCAAGAAGCAGAATTTTATTATTTTATTATTATTATTATTATTTTGAGACAGAGTTTCGCTCTTGTGGCCCAGGCTGGAGTGCAATGGCACAATCTTGGCTCACCACAACCTCCGTCTCCTGGGTTCAAGTGATTCTCCTGCCTCAGCCTCCCAGGTAGCTGGGATTACAGGCATGTACTACCACTCTTGCCTAGTCATGTATTTTTAGTACAGACAGGGTTTCTCCATGTTGGTCAGGCTGGTCTGGAACTCCTGGCCTCAGGTGATCTGCCTGCCTCGGCCTCCCAAAGTGCTGCGATTTCAGGCGTGAGCCACCACACCCAGCAATGAAGATGCAGAATTGTAATACGTTTAATTCATGCTACTGAAGTTCACATCTTCATCAATCAAATGCACAGAAAATTCACAATATATAATATGAAGCTTTATGGTTTGTGAAGTTTATAATTTAAGGAAAAAGATCTGCTAAACTGAACTTAAATGTATACATATATTTTCTATAGAAATTATGACACTGGCTGTATTATAATGACATGTCATAAATAAGACAATTACTTTTATTTTTTATTTAACTTTTATTTTAGGTTTGGAAGTACATGTGAAGGTTTGTTACATGGATAAACACGTGTCACCAGAGTTTGTTGTACATATTATTTTACTTTTTGTTTTTGTTTTGTTTTGTTTTTTGAGATGGAGTCTTGCTCTGTCACCCAGGCTGGAGTGCAGTGTCGTAATCTTGGCTCACTGCAACCTCCACCTCCCAGGTTCAAGCGATTCTCCTGTCTCAGCCTCTTAGGTAGTTGAGGCTACAGGCATGTACCATCATGCCTGGCTAATTTTTTTTTGTATTTTTAGTAGAAACGTGGTTTCACCATGTTGACCAGGCTGGTCTCAAACTCCTGACCTCAGGTGGTCTGCCTGCCTTGGCCTCCCAAAATGCTGGGATTACAGGTGTAAGCCACCGCACGTGGCCTGTTGTACATACTATTTCATCACCCAGGTATTAAGCCCAGTACCTAATAGTTTTTGTTTTTGTTTTTGTTTTGAGACGGATTCTCGCTGTCACTCAGGCTGGAGTGCAGTGGCATGATCTCGGCTCACTGCAACCTCTGCTTCCCGGGTTCAAGCGATTCTCCTGCCTCATCCTTCTGAGTAGCTGGGACTACAGGCACATGCCACCATGCCCAGCTAATTTTTTTTTTTCTTTGTATTTTTAGTAGAGACAGGTTTTCACTGTGTTAGCCAGGCTGGTCTCGATCTCCTGACCTGGTCTCGAACTCCTGACCTCAGGATCAGCCCGCCTCAGCCTCCCACAGTGCAGAGATTACAGGCATGAGCCACCACGCCCAGCTAATAGTTATCTTTTCTGCTTCCCTCCTCACACCCTCCCCACTCAAGTAGACCCCAGTGTCTGTTGTTTCCCTGCGTTCATAAGCTCTCATCATTTAGCTCCCACTTATAAGTGAGAACAACATGGTATGGCAAATTTGTTTCATAAAATAATGAAAGATTTCCTAGAAGAGATTATTTTTAATGGCTACCTAAGGGATGGGAAGGAACCAGTTTAGATTCAGGCAAAGGTTTAGGATTTCCAACTGAAAAACTTTATCCAGGAAATCGTGAGAAGACTGACTGAAATTGATGATACCAGCAGGGAGACAGTGTGAAATGTCTGAGGTAGGTAGGATTTGAACTTGAGCTACAGAATCCTAAGCCACAAGAAGGCCTTTTAATTGGACAAAATGTGGATCAAACATTGTATTGGCTGATTCTTTTAGTAATAATGTGAGAAACTAATTGTAGAAAACAAGATTTCTGGAAGAGAATTGTCCCCAAATTAAGTACTACAAGTGGCGTTTGCAAAGGAATTACCTTAGATATTTTTTCCAACAGGAAACAAAATATTAAAATAGAAATAATGAGTTTCCTCAGATGTAATAAACCTCACTGATATCTTTTGTGTAAATTTCCCACTGTGCCTTTCTCTCACACTCCAGGAGAGTAAAAAGTCCTTGGAAGGAACTAAGAGTATCAGCACCAAGGAACAATGTCATGGTGTGAAGCAGGCTGGGAGTGGAAGTAGGTGAAGGTTAGGGAGGGTTCTGGGTGAAGCTAATTCCCAACAGTTATCTCCAGTGAAGGAATTAAGATTGGAGGAAAAACCAAACTTAGTTCCATTTAAGAGAGATCACCATAAACTAATGTTGCAAAGAAATTAAGATTTTTAAAAATTATTTTTCAGTTTCCTAGGTTTGCTGTTTTTAAGCCATCTTGAACTACAGTAACTAGAGATAAAATGCTCAGAAAATCCTAAACAAAGAGTTGTACACTATGTTCATATATGTCTCTGCCTAGTTTCAGAAATGATTTAAGGTGGCCTATAATGCTACTTAACACCAACTGAACATGGACTGGATGCACAGGGCACAAAGCAGGGCAGGAATGTACTACATGCTCGTGACTTTGTGGGCCATACAGTAGATTTGGGGTTTGTGGTTGCCAATGTGAAAAGCAAAATCTAATGAGATGGATGTCAGTAGGCATAAAATTAGAACAGATGAATTGCTCAAGAAAAGCACAACCTTTTTTCTTAGGCAGATGAGACATTCCCCTTGCTTCCTTTGGAAGAGGAGGGGGTGGGGATGGAGAAGTGAGGCAGTGACACGCAGATTGAGCAAAAGTGCCAGAATTCCTGGTGGGAGAGAAAGAAACAGACATGCCAACTTCAGAGTTGTTAAGAGATAAAGCAAAAGGGTGATTTGAGAGAAGGCAGTCTCAATGTCAGAAGAGGTCTTCAGGCTTCTGCTCAACAGAAGTGGGTGGAGTGATTTCCTGAGAGAAGTGAAGAAAATATTTGCACTTAATTAAACAAAATAATTGTGAGAGAACAGTTTTTTTTAACGATGCTTAGAAAATATGCATCTTTATTTATTTTTGTGTTGAATGAAACCTATGGTTCTTCAATGCCTTCTGTCACAGTGATTTGTTTCTAAAACATTGCTTTACCTACATATGTAGACACACGCGCACGCGCACACACACACACACACACACACACAAACACACACACATTTTTTTCTCATATGAGTCTCTCTCTGTTGCCCAGGCTAGAGTGCCATGGCGCAACTACAACCTCCACCTACCAGGTTCAAGCGATTCTCCTGTCTCAGCCTCCCGAGTAGCTGGGATTACAGGCGCTTGCCACCACACCCAGCTAATTTTTGTATCTTTAGGAGAGATGGGGTTTCACCATATTGGCCAGGCTGGTCTCAAACTCCTGACCTCAGGTGATCCACCCACTCTGTCGCCTCCCAAAGTGCTGGGATTACAGGCATGAGCCACCGCGCCCAGCCTGTTTAAGTCTCTTCTAACTGGATTTGATTGCTTTTGCCAAAAGCATTCTAAGTCATCATGTCATTCTCCTAGATAATTCAGCACTTCTATGCTACAGGTAAGTATATACTTATAAATGTATTATAATAATAATGAAGTGATACTTTGACACAATAAAGACATGCACATAGTATTGTTATAGCAAGCTAAACCAACAAGCTTTGAAATCCCCATCATCCAATAAGGTAAAATGACTTCCATTCTATCAAACACAATCTGTTATATAAGATGGTTTATTTTAAATATACATTATATTAAACTGAATGTTATGCAAATTAAGAGCCTAGAATTCCTAAGGAATGTTATGCATTTTAAAAATGCCTAGTATCCTTTTAAGTGTTTGGTACTAGAAAAAAAGATTTAATAATAATAATTTTTAAAAAGCCAAGTATACTGGTTGCTAACTATATGTACTATCACTGATAAACACATGTAATACTTATTGAGCATTTAGTATGTGCCAGTGCTGTGCTGAGTGCTTTATACTGATCAATGTAATCCACAACAAACCTATAAAGCAGTTACTTTTACATTCCCATTTTACAGATGAGGAATTTGCCCCCCAAATAACTGAGCTTGGATGTACAGTGCCATTTTTTTCTTTTGAGACTGAGTCTTGCTCTGTAGCCCAGGCTGGAGTGCAGTGGTGCAATCTCGGCTCACTGCAACCTCTGCCTCCCAGGTTCAAGGAATCCTCCTGCCTTACCTTCCCGAGTAGTTGGGATTACAGGTGCCTGCCACCATGCCTGGTTAATTCTTGTATTTTTAGAGATGGGGTTTTGCCATGTTGGGCAGGCTGGTCTCACACTTCTGACCTCAGGTAATCTGCCCACTTCAGCCTCCAAAAGTGCTGGGATTACAGGTGTAAGCTACTGCACCCGGCCGTACAGTGCCATTTATAGGTCCTCGCCTCTCAGTCATTCTTCAACCCAATTAAATCTGGCTTCATCTCACCCCACTCCTCCTTCAACTGAAAGTGTTTTCAAATATAAAAATTTGGCCAGGCTTGGTGGCTCACGCGTGTAGTTCCAGCACTTTGGGAGGCCAAGGTGGGTGGATCATGAGGTCAGGAGTTTAAGACCAGCCTTACCAACATGGTGAAACCCCATCCCTACTAAACATACAAAAATTAGCCGGGCGTGGTGGTGGGCACCTGTAGTCCCAGCTGCTCGGGAGGCTGAGGCAGGAGGAGAATCGCTTGAGCCCAGGAGGCGGAAGTTGCAGTGAGCCGAGATGGTGACATTACACTCCAGTCTGGCAACAAAGCCAGACTCCATCTCAAAAAAAAAAAAAAAAAAAAGACTGGATACGTATGGAAGGCTTTGAGAGGTAAGCAGGTGATCAACAAATATTGTTGAATGAATGAGTAAATAAGTGGAAAGAAGAAAGATTCATTTAATGAACAGTTCTAATTTCTCCCACTATAACATTAATGCATTTGTGGAAATAATATTGAGTATCAAAATCTATGAAGAGGAAAATGTTTAGTTTTATGATTAGTGAGCAGTATTTTTAAATTGATATCAAGATATAATATTTCACTACAATGTATTCAATAGATTTTCTCACACTAAAAAATCATATTATAAGAGAAATCTGTAATACATAACATATAAATTACCAAACTGATTCAAAATGAAATAGAAAATCTCAACAGACCTATAACAAGAGATAGAATTGGTAATAAAAAACCTCCCAACAAAGAAATGTCAGATGGTTTCAATGCCGAACTCCATCAGACATTTAAAGAATCAACACTAGGCCATGTGCGGTGGCTCATGCCTGTAATTCCTGCGCTGTGAAGGCCAAGGTGTGCGGATGACCTAAGTTCAGGAGTTTGAGACCAACCTGGCCAACATGATGAAACCCCATCCCTACTAAAAAACACACAAACAAAAAACAAACAAACAAAACTAGCTGCGCAGGGTGGTGGGTGCTTGTAATCCCAGCTACTTGGGAGGCAGAGGTTGCAGTGAGCCAAGATTGTGCCATTGCACTCTAGCCTGGGCAACAGAGTGAAACTCTGTTTCAAAAGAAAAAGAAGGAAAGGAAAAGGAAAAATACTCAGCAAGTAAAAGAAAACTTCCTTAACATGATAAAGGGCAGTTACTAAAAACTCACAGCTAATATCATATTCAATGGTGAAGGACTGAAAGCTTCCCCCCTTGGATGAGGAACAAGACAAGGATATGCACTTTAGAAACCAGAGAGAGGTGGTGGGTGAACAACATTGTGAATGCACCAAATGCCATTGAAATGTATACTTTAAAATAGTTAATTGAATGTTATGTGGATTTCATCTCAATAAAAAGAAAATCAGCCAGGGGCAGTGGCTCACGCCTGTAATCCCAGCACTTTGGGAGGCTGAGGTGGGTGGATCACCTGAGGTCAGGAGTTCAAGACCAACTAGGCCAAGATGGTGAAACCTTGTCTCTACTAAAAAAAAAAAATACAAAAAATTAGCCAGGTGTGGTGGTGGGCACCTGTAATTCCAGCAACTCAGAAGGCTGAGGCAGGAGAATTACTTGAACCTGGGAGGCAGAGGTCGCAGTGAGCTGAGATCAGGCCACTGCACTCCAGCCTGGGCAACAGAGAGAGACTCCATCTCAAAAAAAAAAAAAATCATATAATGAATCATGTATTCACTTTGGCTTACTGATGTACAAGTATATTCCCTATGTTTACAGGATAATTAGTAGAAAAGAGTTATAATTTAGAGATTACATTATAACACCATGAAAAGCAAATTTTATTTACAATTCAAGATAAATCTGAGATAAAAGTCTAACTAAAAGCCTGAAAACTACTTTTAGGAGAGTCTGCAAATTTTCCTCTCAAAGTTAGAATTTTCTTTAAAAAAAATTGGCAACCAGATGGTCTTATACATAAAATCTCAATGTTAAATCCATATGGGATTTAAAAATTAATTCTGTTGCAGCTGCAGCAATCATAACTGTAGTCAGTGTGTTTATTTTTCCTTCAGTAATGTTTGGAGCAGTGTTTCTCAAAGTGGGAACTTGTTAGAAAGGCAGATTCTCAAGCTCCACCCCCGATCTACTTAATCAGAAACCCTGGGGGTGAGACTCCCGCTGGCCATCTGTATTTTAATAAGCCCTCCCTGTGAATGCTCATGTTTGAAGACCATTAGTTAAGACCAATAAGCACCAATCTTGGACAGGGAGGCCACTATAAGCATTTTCTTACCAGAGAATGTTGATTCCCAAACGTTTTTCTGTTTGTCCTAACTCTTAATGTGTCAGCTTGCAACACCTGTGAATTAAAACTAAAAAGAAAAAACATTTGTTATATAAAATCCATTACAAAATTCTTTTAAAGCAGATTTCAAATACTTAAACAGCAAGGGTAAAGGCAAGCTGTGAAAAGGTAGAAATTCTCTCTCTCTCTCTCTCACACACACACACACACACACACACACGGCCTTAGTTGGCTGAGCCTAAACAAGTCTCCATATAAGGTAAGGAATTCTCTAGCATACTACTTTACTTCTAATTATGCTACAGAGAATAAGTATAATTTATTGTGACCTTGGAAATACATCGTTTTCAGTGTAAACCTGTAAATGATTTAAATTTATGGTCAGAGCAACAATGTGCAAATACCAATTCCCTCTCAACTCCCAAAGTGTCACATGAATAAGAGGAATAACCAATAGCAGGGGTTGATGGAACTGAGATTTTTCACAGATGTGTTTTGTTTGGCCTACACAGTGTTAAAAATGTTTTTGAATTTGTTTTGTACACTGTGAGATTTCGCATTAAGAAAAAAACCCAGATTCCAACTTTCTGGCTTCCATTGAAAAGTGGCAAGATTTTGCAATACTGGGCTGCATTCCCATGATAACAATGGACTGAAGTTGTGCAGCTGCAGCCCACTGAAGACGGATCTGTGTCCTCAGGTTTGATGGTTGCCCACCCAAGTGAATCCTATTTGACCTTGTAATCCCGAAGAAATCATCACGTCATTTTTTTTTTTTTTTTTTTTTTTGAGAGACGTGGTCCTGCTGTATATTCCCCAGGCTGCCCTCAAACTCCTAGGCTCAACAATGCTCCTGCCTCAGCCTCTCGAGTAGCCAGGACCACAGATCCCAGCTGTGCCTGGCATTTTTTCCTTTTTATTATAACTTTTTATTTTGAAACGATTTGAGACTCACAAGAAGTTGCAAAAAGAATACAGACGGTTCGCATGCACCCTGCATCCAGGTTCCTTCTATATGAGAAATCATCTGTAACCTTTTTTTGTTTTAGCTGCCTATAGCCAATCAACTGCCAGTATTTTAGATTTTACCTCTATACTCGCTCTCTCTGATATCCACCTGATTCTTTTCAGGCTCCTTGCCAAAAACCAATTCAAGGCCTTTTTCCTTTTCTGCAGACTGCCAGAGTCTAATTGGGCTCCTTGCCTCTCTTCTTTCCCTTCTCCAGGCTATCTAACAGACTACCGGGGGCACCTTCTTAAAGAACAGTTTGCTCACAACGTTCAGTGACTCTCTTCAGTGCCTGTCAAATTCAATTATGTTCTTTACTATGACATTCAAAGCCCTCCACAGTTTGGCTCCAGACTCTTCTATTTCATGGACAAGTACAATTTCAAAACAAAATCTAGGCAGAAACATACAGTTGCCACCTTTTTCTTTTGCCAAGTCATTTTTTTAAAAAAAAACTCCACCATTGGCCGGGCGCAGTGGCTCACACCTGTAATCCCAAGACTTTGGGAAGCCGAGGCAGGTGGATCACGAGGTCAAGAGATCGAGACCATCCTAGCCAACATGGTGAAACCCCATCTCTACTAAAAATACAAAAATTAGCTGGGCGTGGTGGCGCCCACCTGTAATCCCAGCAACTCAGGAGGCTGAGGCAGGAGAATCGCTTGAACCTGGGAGGCGGAGGTTGCAGTGAGGAAAGATGGTGCCACTGGACTCCAGCTGAGTGACAGAGTGAGACTGTCTTAAAAAAAAAAAAAAAGAAAAAAAATCCCACCACTGACCAACACCATCATTTCATTTGTAAAAGGACATTTTGGTATTTAAAAAATAAGAGAGTAACAGTCTCAGAGTACAGTACAGCCCTGCCCAGGAAGGACAATTAGCAACTACATAATGACATCTTTAATTATGCCGTACTTAACTTCTCTAAAAGCATGGATTGGTAAAAACTTTGTCTGAGATCAGCACTGATCAGCAGATGAACATTTGGGAGTCAGGAGTTCAGGCAAAGTGGACCATTCAGTTCTCTGAAATATATCTATGCTTTTCTGCCTTCAAGTCTGTTGTATATGTAATACTTAAAATGCTATCCCAACCATTGGCCCCCTCTCTTCCAGGGTATATCCTATCAATCCATGAAGACCCATCTCAAATGTCACCTTCTCCTTCTCCCTCCCTTTGAATTCCCTAGCACTGTCTTTAGCTCCCTAAGCACTTATCTGACTCTACATTTAAGTCCTTTGAATATTAATATTCCCTATTAAAGCTTATTGATCCCCGAGATACATCTTTGCAACATAATTTGCATACAAGAGATCGTAATTCAGTATTTTGTGAATGAGAAGGTATATGGATGTATCTAATTTTACTTCCATTCCCAGTCATTTTCTTCGTGAGAATAGGAATATGTTCTGTCAGTCACTTATAAGAAAACTGGAGGGACAGTAATGGGCTATTTCTTTCCACTCTCTTTTGTGTATGCGTGTAGGGGGCCTAATACGTAGGGCTGGCAATGATATATTCTCCCCTAAATTTGTTTGCCAATTTTAGTAAGACTGTAACTGAAAGAAAGAATTCAGGCAGCATATACTTCGACTGGTATGCATCATTCAACATGAATTTATAAAACGCTAGGTGATATCTGAACTGAGCTAAGTGCTACTTCTAACTTGGAAAAAGCAGAGATAGTATATGACTGGATGGATGTTCAACGTTCCACATCAAATGATCAATAAAGAGCTCTGGCTAAACTATAATAGATTTATGTCATAATATTCCCAAAGCAGTAATTTTTCATGGCTGCTATTCTTCCAGATCCATAAGAGTTCAATAAACCAGAGGGTGGGCAAACTTTTTCTGCAAACGGCCAGAGAGTAAACATTTTAGGCTTTGTGGGCCATATAGTATCTGTTGCAACTCCTCAGTTCTGCCACTGCAGTGGGAAAGTAGCCATAGTTAATAAGTAAATAATCGGCCGGGCGCGGTGGCTCAAGCCTGTAATCCCAGCACTTTGGGAGGTTGAGTCGGGTGGATCACGAGGTCAAGAGATCGAGACCATCCTGGTCAACATGGTGAAACCCCGTCTCTACTAAAAATAAAAATAAAAATAAATTAGGTGGACATGGTGGCGAGTGCCTGTAATCCCAGCTACTCAGGAGGCTGAGGCAGGAGAATTGCCTGAACCCAGGAGGCGGAGGTTGTGGTGAGCCGAGATTGCGCCACTGCACTCCTGCCTGGGTAACAGAACGAGACTCCATCTCAGAAAATAAAAAAGAATTTAGGAAGTAACAGTTTAAATGCAGGGTCAAGGTAGAGGTTTTTAAGGTAGGGAGACACTGGCAGGAATACAAGAACCTAATCTCTGAGTCTTTGAATAATGGTCAGAGAAAGAGAAGTAAAAAAAAAAAACTCCTAGCTTTAAATATAGTTAGACACCAGTAATAAAGTCAGTCACCTACAGAGATAAAGAATATAAAAACCAAGAGGTTCAAAACTTTTGACATTGGATTTTTTATTAATACAAGATATACACAAAACAGTGCAGAAACTTCTTCAAAACAGTAATACTGTATTGAAAAGAGTTGACATGAAAGAAACAAATGTAAGGAATTTAATTCTGCAAACACTGGTGCAAGAGGGTCCTTATATAGAAGAAACATCAAGCAAAATTCGAAAACTACTTGAAAGAGGTGCAATAATGTATAGCAAGCTAAATTTTTCTACAACAGCACAAAACATGCCCTCAGATTATTTGGGTGACCTCAGGCATGTCACATCATTCCTATGTTACTTCTTTCCGATGGATTAGAGTCCCTGGACTCCGTCCACTTTGTGGTTTCTAGATCTTTAACTCCTACTAAAGAAATATGCTAGTGACTCTCACCTTTCTGAAAATAATGCTTTACTACCAGGTATAGATTAGAAAGAGGGAGCACACAAGTATTAGAGGGCCAAGGAAGGAAAAAAGAAAGAGAAAAGTGAGCATAATACATACGCAAATGAGAACTGAGGTAAAAATGAATTCAACTAAGGCTCAGTGTAATCCTAAATTTTTCTTGCTTCAGACTAACTTTTCTGACCACACCCTACATCTTCTTTTTTTTTTTTGAGACGGAGTTTCGCTCTTGTTACCCAGGCTGGAGTGCAATGGCGCGATCTCGGCTCACCACAACCTCCGCATCCTGGGTTCAGGCAATTCTCCTGCCTCAGCCTCCCGAGTAGCTGGGATTACAGGCACGCGCCACCATGCCCAGCTAATTTTTTGTATTTTGAGTAGAGACGGGGTTTCACCATGTTGACCAGGATGGTCTCGATCTCTTGACCTCGTGATCCACCCGCCTTGGCCTCCCAAAGTGCTGGGATTACAGGCTTGAGCCACCGCGCCCGACCCACACGCTACATTTTCTACAAAAGCACAAAAAATGCCCTTAGATCATTTGGGTAAGTTCTCTGACCTCAGGCACATCACACATCATTCCTATGTTACTTCTTTCTGATGGACTAGAGTCCCTGGACTCTGTCTACTTTGTGGCTTCTATATCTTTAAACTCTTAGTAAAGAAATATGCTAGTGACCCTCATCATTCTGTACAAATTTTGCTTCACACATCAGGATCTTAAGCTATAGAATCCAACATTGTAGCTATGCTCTAATATGATAAAAGCAAAAAAAAAAAAAAAAAACACACAAAAACCAAATCACTTGCAGAGCAAAACAAGGTATGAAGGGATAACCGAGATCTGTTTCCAGAACTTTGAGGATTAGGGAAGGGGCCTAGCCCACGCCTTCTCTGGCGTATTTAATACATTAAATAGGATCTAAAGGTTCTTTCAAGTCAACATCCTCCATCATTTATTTGCAACCTATTTCTTTGTTTTACATTGTCTTCAATAAAGCCAGCATTCTCCCTACTGCTCTCTTCTCCTACTAGAATGGGTCCCTTAATTCCTTTATTGCCACAACAGGATTAGAGCAAAATCCTGAGTGTATAAAATGTTCTTGTTCTCAGCATAACATGCAGAGTTCCCATTCTATTTTTTCTGCCAGCCTATTTTAAAAAGGCCATGTATTTTCTTTTGGTCAATCTGCATTTGCTTTTCACTTTGTGAACAATATATTTTCTCCTACTTCAAATGACCCAAAAGTAGCATTTATTTAGAGTTAATCAGCTTAAACATTGGTTAGCAGTGGACAGAACAGTCGTTTAGGAGTAAGGAAACAGAGATTCCTAGTACTGGATCTGCCGCTAAACATGTCATTTTGGAGATTTATGGGCCTCAGTTTGCTCATACGCTAAACGAGGAGGGTAAAGCTGGTCTCTGAATCCCTTCTTGATGGTCTATGGTATTGTGAATTACAACTATCAATTAGTATGACGCCACAAAAGGTGAGGAGCAAAGTTAGTAATGTATGTAGTGAATGCATTTTTCAGATATTTTTACACTATCTAGAAAATCTTATAGACTGAAATGTGAGATCCAAAATCTCATTTTAAAACTCTAGTTTAAGAAATAAGATTTAGTAATGCTAGACCTTCAGAAATACAGTTAACTATCACTTAGTGTAGTGTTTTAAAATCCTTTTTCCATTATTGACCCTCTGAAAAGTCTCTTTAGACATTTTCCCCAATTGCTCCCCCATGAAATTTTAGTAACACATATGTACTATATATATGTACTGTATGTATATCTGTATACATAAAAAGAGCAAAAATTTTTCACACTCCCCGAAGAACTATTTTCTCCCCCTTTGGGGAGTTACCACCCAGCATGAATGTGTAATTTAGGAGATCAAGCTTCTGTGGTATCAAAACTTTTTGCTCCAATAAAAAATAGGTGTAGGCAGGGCCCGGTGGTTCACATCTGTAATCCCAACACTTTGGGAAGCTGAGGCAGGCAGATCACCTGAGGCCAGGAGTTCCAGACCAGCCCGGCCAATATGACAAAACCCCGTCTCTACTAAAAATACAAAAAATTAGCCAGGTGTGGTGGCGGGCTCCTGTAATTCCAGCTACTAGGGAGGCTGAGACATGAGAATCGCTTGAACCCGGGAGGTGGAGATTACAGTAAACTGAGATCATGCCACTGCACTCCAGACTAGGCGACAGAGCAAGACTCCGTCTCAAAAAAAAATATATATATATATATATATATGTGTGTGTGTGTGTGTGTGTGTGTGTGTGCGTGTGCGTGTATGTGTTAAAAAGTCCAAAGCTTATCTGCTTGACAACCATTTTCATTCGAGAGGCTGGAGGTGAAGGTCAGAGGTGACAAAGCAGCTGAAATGACAAATATTAGAGTCATGGCAGAAGATCTGGAGGCGAGTGGGGGAGGATGCTAAATTTCTTCAAAGGAGTAAGAAATGGGGTGAAGATAGAAAAAAGTCCTGCTCCACACCAATTGGCTGCTGCCTTCGGGTCCGCGTGGACTGTCAGGAGAGGATATTCAGGTTTAGATGTCTGTCAACCTCAGGGGTGGGTGCGCACTCTCCCTCAGGTCAGCCCATCCCACTACCCCCACCCAAGGTTGAGGGTGGGATTTCTGGACACCAGGAACAAGGGAGATACCTGCGGAACATCAACAAATAAAGGGACGGGAATTCTATAGGAAATCACTTTCCAGAGCACCTGCTCCCCACCCGCTTGCCTCCTCCAGTATCTCAACCCGGCTCACCCAAGTCCATTGATCAAAGGGGCACTGCTGCCTCCTCTCAGAATGTTGCTGTCTGAGGTGGTGGAAGTCGGCGGCGATTCGAGATTTAGTTCCATTTTCTCCTGCGCCATGTCTGGGTCGACGAATAAGTTCTCAAGGTTTTCCCGCTCCAGTTCACACAAGGAAAGCCGACTGAGTGGCAGATGATGTAAGAAGAGAGGCAAAGGGGAAAAAAAAGAAGAGGGGAGAAAGCTCTTAGGTGAGTGGGGGTGCCCACCTTTGCAGCCCTAACATGCCTAACATCAGGGAGCACAAAGTTAGGCAGGACTGGCTCCGAACCGCCTATTTCCCATGATCTGGGTCTCTAACAATGAGAAGGTCCCCCACCTCCAACTCTACAATGTAACTGGGAAATTTAACCTGTCACCGCCGCAAATCCTCTTCGTCTCTCTCAGCCCTGGCAATTCATGGTAAGCCTTTCGGGACAAAACAAAAACTACAACCTGTCGCCTTTGACAATCAGCTGGGTTCCGTACCTCAGAGCCCGCGCCACTCTTCCAGCGAGACCACAAGCATTGTGAGTCACATGACGTCACTTTACGCGCCTTTGTCAGCTTTCCCAGTGGCGCATGCGCAAAGAGGTCGCTTTCTTCCCCACGTCCCGCCCTCTTTCCTCTTTCCCCAAAGCCCACCCGCCGTGGTTGTGCCTCTTTTCTTTTGCTAACCCTGGCATGGTTTCCCTAAGCATAATTTAGAAATGAAAGCGTTGGGAGGAGTGAGTTCCTTTTTGCTCTATGCCTGGTACTCAGTTTTCTCATCATCCCTTTATGAGGGAGGCCAACAAGCTTCTAACCTCCCATGATGCATTTTTCCATCCTGTGGCAGCAGACACACTACACCTCTGCAATTTTACAAAAGCAAAAGTCTGAAAAGGAAAAGATACTACTACCTAGGTGCTTAGAGGCCACTTGGTCCCAAAGAGGCTTGCTAAGGCGCTAACCTAATTTAGCTCATTCGGCAAACTAATCACTGTTTTCGGTGTGGTTTCTTTCTTTTATTTAGCCATAATTGTACAGTGTGGATTTTTTTGTTTGTTTTTGAGGGGGTGTTCTTTGAGACAGAGTTTCGCTCTTGTTGCTCAGGCTGGGGTGCAGTGGCCATGGTCTCGGCTCACGTGATTCTCTTGCCTCAGCCTCCCGAGTAACAGGCACCCACCACCACACCCAGCTAATTTTTGTATTTTTAGTAGAGACGGGGTTTCACCATGTTGGCCAGGCTGGTCTCAAACTCCTGACCTCAGGTGATCCGCCCACCTCCGCCTCCCAAAGTGCTGGGATTACAGGTGTGAGCCACCACGACCAGCCACTGTGTGTATTTTTACATTATATATAATCTGGCTCCTCACATCTATTCATATAAAAAACAAAGACCTCAGCTAATTTACAAGATTTGAGTTAAAGCAGTAAGACTTCTTTTTTTTTTTTTTTTTTTTGAGACGGAGTTTCGCTCTTGTTACCCAGGCTGGAGTGCAATGGCGCGATCTCGGCTCACCGCAACCTCCGCCTCCCGGGTTCAGGCAATTCTCCTGCCTCAGCCTCCCGAGTAGCTGGGATTAAGTAAGACTTTGCTTAAAACAAATATCGCCCAGACACGGTGGCTCACGTCTGTAATCCCAGCACTTTGAGAGGCCGAGGCGGGCGGATCATGAGGTCAGGAGATCCAGACCATCCTAACCATAGTGAAACCCCGCCTCTACTAAAATACAAAAATTAGCCGAGCCTGGTGGCGCGTGTCTGCAGTCCCAGCACTCAGGAGGCTCAGGCAGGAGAATGCTTGAACTCGGTAGGTGGAGGCTGCAGTGAGCCGAGATCGCGCCACTGCACTCCAGCCTGGGGACAGAACAATCAAGACTCCGTCTCAAAAAAAAAAAAAAAAACCTCAGAATTTAGTATCTATGTAAATCAGTGTTTCCGTTTCAGCTAATATTAGAGGCTCTATACATTCTAACAATGCTGCCATGGCTCATATCATTTTAAGAACTGCTCTTTTAGAAGTTTTCACCACCAGTTCATGAGCCACATTGAGTACTGAAGTCTTAATCCCATGCTAATAACTTTGCAAAACCACACATTTTAGTAACCACAGAGAGAACTGGCAGAGAAGGCAAATAAATCTAGTGAAATGGGAGTTATTAATTAAAATAGTCGTAACACGGCCAGGCACAGTGGCTCACGCCTGTAATCCCAGAACTTTGGGAGGACGAGGCCGGCAGATGACCTGAGGTCTGGAGTTCGAGACTGGCCTGACCAACATGGAGAAAATCCATCTCTACTAAAAATACAAAAAAATTTGCTGGGTATGGTGGCACATGCCTGTAATCTCAGCTACTCAGGAGGCTGAGGCAGGAGAATTGCTTGAACCTGGGAGGCAGAGGTTGCAGTGAGCCAAGATCACAGCATTGCACTCCAGCCTGGGCAACAAGAGTGAAACTACATCTCAAAAAAAAAAAAAAATAGTCATAACACTGGAATAGCACTATACAGTTTATGAAATGTTTCTTCTTTTTTTTTTATTTTTATTTTTTGAGATGGAGTTTCACACTTGTTGCTCAGGCTGGAGTGCAATGGCATGATCTTGGCTCAGCAATCTTGGCTCACTGCAACCTCACCCTCCCAAGTTCAAGCAATTCTCCTGCCTCAGCCTCCAAGGTAGCTGGGATTACAAGCATGCGCCACCACGCCCGGCTAATTTTGTATTTTAAGTAGAGACAGGGTTTCTCCATGTTGGTCAGGCAGGTCTGGAACTTCTGACCTCAGGTGATCTGCCCGCCTTGGCCTCCCAAAGTGCTGGGATTACAGGTATGAGCCACCGCACCCAGCCTACAAAATGTTTTCACATACTTATCTCCAGTGGTTCAATCATCAATCCTGCTCAGCTAGCCAGTGGTGAACTTAAAATAATGGGACAGTCCTGAGATAGTTCGTGACAAGTCACGACATGTAAGATCATAATTATTTATTCTTTGTTCATTGTGGGAATAGAATAAGACAAACTTGATTCCATTAAATAGAATTAGATTACTTAAATCCCAGACATCAGAATGATTTGGAGTCTCCGTTCCTGATATAAGACAGATTACTAATAGCTACCATTTATTGGTCACTTACTATGTTCGAGGTACTGTCCTAATCACTTTAAATATATGATTGCATTTAAAGTTTACAATAATTCTGTGAGGTAGGCACCATCACAATGTCCACTTTTCAATGGAGGAAACCAAAGCCAAGAGGGGTTACTCACGTTACAACTACCAAGTGGCAAAGCCAAGATTCCTCTGCCCTTCTGTTTAAGTAAAAAAAAATGAGGTGCCTCAGAATATCTCCCTGGACACAATTTCTGTACTCATAAGCATTTGGTAAATCCTTATTAAATTATTTTATGAATACATGCAGGTTTAAATAGCCTATCTTGCATTGCTATCTTGTAGAGTAGGTAAATCATTTCTATTTTACAGTTGGATAAAATTCCAAAGAGATTAATAGCACATAATTAGATACCAGCAGAATTCAGGCTAGTATCAAGATCTCCTAAATGCGGCTGTTAAAATTCCTAGGGTACTTGGAAAGTTTATAAAAGATGATGGTTAAAGCTGAGTACATTCAGGGTGAATGCAGAAGGCAGTGATTAAAGACAGAACAGAGTCAAAAACAAATTGTCTGAATAACAGAAAAATGTGGAGCACACCAGCGAACAAGTGAATTTTACCTCCACTCTGTTCATTTTACTTTTCACCATTTGCTGGTATTTTTGGCAGGTAATAAGGTTTCATACGTATATTTTGAATAAATGGACAAAATCTCATCCTGCCTAAGCATGACAAATATCTAATTTTTAAATAAGTACAATAACACTAAGAAAATAGGTATACTGGGCCAGGTGCTGTGGCTCACACCTATAATCCCAGCACTTTGGGAGGCCGAGACAGGTAGATCACAAGGTCAGGTGTTCGAGACCGGCCCGGCCAACATGGTGAAACCCCATCTCTACTAAAAAAATACAAACAAATTAGCTGGGCTTGGTAGTGTGGGCCTGTAAACCCAGCTACTCAGGAGGCTGAGGCAGGAGAATCGTTTGAACCCAGGAGGTGGAGGTTGCAGTGAGCTGAGATTGCACCGCTGCACCCCAGCCTGGGCAACAGAGTGAGACTACTTGGTCTCAAAAAAAGAAAATAGTATAATAAAATGACAAGGAAGCAGTGACCAAGGGACTATGTTTCTAAGAAAAGGATTTAGTAGTATGAAAAACTAAATATATGAGATAGTAATAAGTTTACAGCTATTATCAAAGAGAAGGAGCTCTCTTTAACTAGAGAACAACTACGTGTCAGGAACCCCAAACCTGTAAAGATAGAAATAGGACTCATAGTACCTACACAAATTGGAATATCAAAAGGAATAAGTAATACAAAAACACCGAGAATTCTATATGCTACAATGGCAAACACAACATTAAATAAATTGCTTTTACTTCTCCCCATTTCCACCCACATAGTATTATACCAACCTCGCTGATCCGTTCTTTCAGTTCAAGGGAAATACGCCATGATCTTGGGATACTGGTTTTCTTCGATCTAGACTTGACACTTAGGCTACTCTTCTCTTTGCATATTCCAGTCTGCTGCCGTCTGTCCCAGGCCTTCACCTATAAAAGTAACCAACAAACACGTGATAATCAGCTCTCTATTCTCCCAGTTGTCATGGCAACCTGGAAGCTACTACAGTGTAACCTTTTGTTAACACAAGAGTAAGTCAAATACAAGTCGGAACCAAATCTACAAACAACAAACACCCCAAACCTTCCCAAAGGATTTACATGAAAGGTAAAAGAAACTGGCAGGCAAGAAAGATGTGAATAAAACCTGAAAATGATGGCCCCAGTAGCACTCTTCTACTCACCTATCCTTGAATTTCCCCTAAATTGTTAAGCTCCTCAAATTTAGGGATTCAAGGAAATTGTTTGACTTCTCAGAGTTAGGGTCAGTGCAAGCTGCGGCCAACAAATGATTGTTTAGTAGCTATTGTGAACAAAAGAATATATTGTAATTTCTTTTGAGCGTGGAGTAGGAGGTGGAGCTGGCCTTAAGGGTTGCTGAGACCTTGAGATAAAAACAGATGCAGAAGTTGCTCAAAAACAGAAGTTGTTATTTCTAATCTAGCTGGGAGAAAAATACAGGCAATGTAAAAGAAACTATCTAAAAGTACTTATAGATCCCTTATTCTATACAGGCAGAAAGCATAGACAGTGAGGAATAAAATGACAATTGGCCTTGGCAAGTTTCGTATGGGACAATGGCAAGCAAAATTATTATTTCTTGCTGAATTTTGAAAGCAATTTCATAAGTATTACATTTCAATGCAATGGTCTTCTCTTCCCCAGGGTCATTCGAGTGGGGAGGATTCGCAGGGTTTGTGGAGTCCTGATAAGATATGTAAGCAATAGTGAGAAAGGGGCCCCAGGTGGAGAAGAACAATGAACAACTGTTCCGAGAAACCTAGGGCACATGTACCTCCTTCCACAAGTGGGCCCGCAGCACGGCTTCTTTCCACAAGTGGCTCCTCCAGCTTTCTCCAGCCCATGCCTCTTTGCAGACAGCTCCTCCTCTGCAGCTGCCTGTTGCATCCTTGCAACATATTTTCCTACCTTCTCTAATAAATCTGCCGTTTTTTACCTACGACTATCTTGGTAAATTCCTTTACCACCTGCGCCACTGGCCAATCACACCTGCAACATTTTGGTGGCCTGTATAGGGACAGTACTTGGGGACCTCTCCCCTATTCTCTCCCTTTCCTGCAATTCCAACGTCTTGGTGGACAGCATGAAAACCCTGAGACAATTGAAAGTCCCTGGTCAGGCCTGCTCCCCAGTGGAGCAGAAAGTCCTGGTGGAAAGACATCTGACTGCTGCCCCATGATCGAGTGAGAGTTCAGAGTTTGCTTTACTTTTCAGTCTTCCAGGGGGCAAACTCTAGTATCCCTCTGATAATTGATGGCAACTTGTCACGGCCATGCTCTGGTGTGGCCTGAAGGCCATTGTGGGTGAACAGGTTTGGCTACCTTGCCCAGAAGAAAAGAAGGCCCTCTCCTATCCCTCCTGGTGAAAAGTTCTGCAATCTCTATGTGATACAATTGGCACATATGATCTGGGGAGCTCAGAGGCCCTCTTTCTTACTCTAAATTCTCCTGTGAAAACAGCCAGACCTCCTGCTCTGGACATTCCCAAATTAGGTGATCTCAAGCTGGCTCAAAGCAGTGAGTCTCCCCATTCTGGTCGTCTCTCCCTGGATGGCACCAGGCTGAGTTCTTCCTTTACCCTTTTTCCTGGTTCCTGGCTAATCATCCAACGCAAGTCTCCAGAACCAAGATGTTCTTTCTTTTCTTTTCTTTTTTTTTTTTTTTTTTTTTTTTTTTTTTTTTTTTTTTTGAGACAGAGTTTCGCTCTTGTTACCCAGGCTGGAGTGCAATGGCCCAATCTCGGCTCACCGCAACCTCCCCCTCCCAGGTTCAAGCTATTTTCCTGCCTCAGCCTCCCGAGTAGCTGGGACTACAGGCATGTGCCACCACGCCCAGCTAATTTTTTTTGTATTTTGAGTAGAGACGGGGTTTCACCATGTTGACCAGGATGGTCTCGATCTCTTGACCTCATGATCCACCCGCCTCGGCCTCCCAAAGTGCTGGGATTATAGGCGTGAGCCGCCACGCCCAGCCTCAAGATGTCCTTTCTAATAGGTGCACTGCCCTTTAGAAAGTGCACTGGAGGCCGGGCGCAGCGGCTCACACCTGAAATCCCAGCACTTTGGGAGGCAGAGGTGGGAAGATCACCTGAGGTCCGGAGTTCAAGACCAGCCTGTCCAACATGGCAAAATACCATCTCTACTAAAAATATAAAAATCAGCCACGTGTGGTGGTACATGCCTGTAATCCTACCTACTCGGGAGGCTGAGGCAGGAGAATCACTTGAACCTGGGAGGCGGAGGTTGCAGTGAGCCGAGATCGTGCCACTGCATTCCAGCCCGGGTGACAGAGTGAGACTCCATCTCAAAAAAAAAAAAGTGCACTAGAATCCTTCAGCAGATGTGTGTTGAGTCCTCTTCCTTGGTGGCAGGGGGGTGGAGGGCGATGGGTACTGTCAGGGGTGCCTCAGAGAATGTGATTGGTGTCCGCAGCAGACATTAGCCCCCAGCAGCTCATCGTTTTCCACTCCCGCCATGGGACAAACTCTCTCTATTCCTTCAGACACCTCTGGGTCGCATCCCAAAACATTGAGACAAATGTAACCCTGAGATTCAAAAAGAAATGTCAAATTTCCTTTTGTAATACAGCACGGCCCCTATGCAGAAAATCCTCTAATTAGTCTCCTCAGGCTTTTATAACCAAGAGCAGAATAAGAACAGGGCTAAGGAGAAAGAAAAACACAGGGACAAGAAGCAGCCTCAGCTGTTGGCTGCTTTGCAAGCCCCCTGCCCCTACTCCAGCTATACACCCCCAGGCAACTGCCTTCAGTGCAGAAGGCCAGGCCACTGGAAGGCAAACTGGTCCTACGAGAAGAAAACCCGAATGGCTTCCCCTTCTACCACAAGCTTGGCCACTGGAAACCAGACTGCCCTGAGGGCCAATGGGCTCCTGGGACAGAATCCCAACCCCTGATGATCATCAGACCTTAAACTGAAAAGGGACTCTCTGCTCTGGCTAGCTTCCAAATTAAACACGAGTCATCAAGAAAACAAAGCCAAGGGCAACTCTGGAGGTGGCAAGTAAAATTATAAACTTCCTTCTTGAGTTAAAAAGCCGCCTGTCATGGAGATGCCTTCTCTACCCCTTTCTGGAAATACCTTTTGCTTATATGGCAAAAACCTGGAAAATTACTATCTGGACTTTAACAGGCTTTTATTTAGATTGAATCACTATTGGAATTGAGTTCCCCATGAAAAGAAAATGGTTAAATTAAAAGAAAGATGCATAATCCTAACATGGCTAGTCTTAGAAAATTGTCTTGAGCAGTTAAAACCCTTTGCAAGCTTGAAAATGCTCTAAACTTCTGGAAAAACCACAGTAGTCACCCTGTACTGTGGGTCAGTTTCTAACACTTTGTCCTATCATAATGGCAGCCTGGGTTCAGTCCCTGACTTTGAAGGCCAGTCCTCTGTGGTTTAATACTTGGGGTACTTTTGCCATGTATTGATTCTTTTTCCCTCCATGGACAGCTTCTGATTTCCTGTCCTGAAATTTCCTTTTCTCTGAGTTACCTTTGGGGCAATTCTAGATCTTATAAATTGCTTACCATCTCTTTGGAGACACCTCGTGCGTCCATGTTTCAATCATCCTCTTAGTTAAGGTTTCTTAATTTCACGTGAGAGGTTACCATTAGTACAAGGTTCCAAAGCCAGAAATATCAGCTTTGTTGCCCAGGCTGAGTGTAGTGACGCGATCTCTCACTGCAACCTCCACCTCCCAGGTTCAAGCAATTCTCCCACCTCAGCCACCCAGATAGCTGGGATTATAGAAGCATGCCTGAGTAGCTAGGACTACAGGCACCTGCCACCACCCCCAGGTAATTTTTTTGTATTTTTAGTAGAGATGGGGTTTCACCATGTTGGGCAGGCTGGTCTCGAACTCCAGACCTTATGATCCGCCAGCCTCGGCCTCCCAAAGTGCTCGGATTACAGGCGTGAGCCACTGCGTCCATCCTGTAAGGAAGGTTTTAAAGAAAAATTTTATATGAGAAAACATCTTTTTTTTTTTTTTTTGAGACGGGGTCTGCCCAGGCTGCAGTTCAGTGGTGTGATCTCAGTTTACTGCAGCTTCTGCCTCCTGGATTCAAGTGATTCTCCTGCCTCAGCCTCTGGAGTAGCTGGGATTACAGGTACACACACCACCACACCCGACTAATTTTTGTATTTTTAGTAGAGACAGGGCTTCATCATGCTATGTTGGTGTTATGTATAAAATTTTTCTTTTTGGTGTTGCAAAGAAAAATTAGTACTGGGACAAAGGATCTCTCAGCAAAGCAATTCTTTTTACTTCCTGCAGAAAAGATACTGCCACTAGCAATCTTGCCGCAAGAGTGCAATGAACAAAGGAAAGCAGACATATTTATTTTTTTATGTATTTGGGGTTGTCCTTATTGCTGTGTCTGATCTCCATTGGCTGGAGCCAGACCTCATAATCTAAATTAAAACCTGATTGTCTAATAACTTGAAACTTTTCTAAACAGATAAAGGCAATGGAGAGCAAAAAAAAGGAAGGGACATAGGCTGGGAGCTGGGACATGCCTGTGAGCATGTCCAGCACGATATTTTGGTTTAAGTACGAGGACATAGAATGTACTATGTGCCTGTAAGCATGTCTAACATCTACATAGGATAGATAGGATAGGGCTTCTATCAAAAAGGCAAGAAGGCTTCTGAAGAAGGTGTTTAAAACAAACTATTATTACTAACACTTATGAATTTTTCTTAAACAAGAAAGGAAACTTTGAAGATAAACTTTTTTTACTTCCCACAGTTGGCCAGGCTGGCCTTGAACTCCTGACCTCAAGTGATCTGCCCATCTCAGCCTCCCAAAGTGCTGGGATTACAGGCATGAGCCACTGCACCTGGCCAAGAAAGGACCGTGTATGAAAAATTTTTGTCCTAAAGTAAAATGACCGGTTGTTTAGGAAAGAGGAATGTTTAGGACAAGTCAGAAAGTCCTGATGTCCAGCTCAGAAAGTCCATGTCATAATTGGGTCTGTGTACATTGTGAGAAGGTTTGCAAAGAAGTTATGTAAGAATTTTGTATGTGTTTAAGTTGGTTATAATTGAAAAGGAATTATTTAGGATAGTCTAACATTGGTTCCCTGTGTTAAAAACAAGGTTTTCTTTCTTTATTTTTTTTTTTTTAAGATGGAGTCTTGCTCTGTTGCCAGGCTGGAGTGCAGTGGGGTGATCTCAGCTCAGTGCAATCTCTGCTTCCTGGGTTCAAGCCATTCTCCTGCCTCAGCCTCCCAAGTAGCTAGGACTACAGGTGTGCACCA